AAAAATTGAAATTTGAACCCTGTGTACCAGTAGGTGCTATACTGTACACACCTCAGCTTAGACAATGTTTAGGGTGGTTTTTAATTTTGATGAAATTGCTTGATTTAAACTTCTCAATTTAAATCCAAATTTGTTTACTTTTGTTACAAAAGAGATAAATAAAAGAAAAGAAACACAATCAATTTGATTGCTTTAGAATACATGTAGCTAATTACGCCAACTTATGTCCGATTTTTATAGAAATAAAATAATCAAATTTACCCTAAATTTAAAAAATCTGATATAAATTTCAAAAATCTGATCTCTTTAAATTTTTTGTTTTTTTTTTATTTAAAAAATTGCCAATCTGTCTTGACATGCCTGATGAGCCACATAAGCCCGAAAGTTTTATCACTAATACAGCACATGGATGATTTTGCACAATGGTAGAAAGGAAATGCAAATACTCCCAGAAGTTCCAAATTTTCGATGCTTTGAAACGCTATGGCCATGAGTCTGAGTGTGCCCATGTATTCTGCCTAAAACTGCACTTTCACAATCAAATCTAAATTCAATCTCATTTCAACGATCTTGCCTCACAATCATGACAATGTCGGTTCCCCATGAAGGAACAAGTTTCCACTTCCTTTCAACGGACACATGCCCAGTATGAATATGCAGCTCAAACATGTGATTTGTTTGTTGACATCCTCGAGAGTTTGTAGGCCTAGGCCTAGATGTACATGAAAGGTCTCAATTGTGCCAAAAATAGCATATAGACAATTAAAAAAAATAAATTGTGATTTTGGCGGAAGATTTGATTGAGAAAGTTGACCTGAAACTTGCAGTTTCAGGCAGAATAATTTGCATAGGCCAAGTCCGAATACTGGACATGTTTTTTTGCTCAGTCAAAAGACTTCAGAACCCCACGCAAGTTTATTGACATTTTCATTTTTCCCACAGCAATTAAACCCGCTACACCTATATCAGTTGTATAATTTCGCATTATTATTCACAGAAATGAATTTCGATGCGTATACCTTGTTCCTTATCGGCCATTTTCCAGCAAGTTCAGGGTAGCAATCTTCACAACACAGTGGAACACCACGTTTCCGCGCCAAACCGGGTCTGTTGTTCAAGCATGTCAAGTGTCACGTTGAGTTGGTAGTCGATACGATCGTACCAATCTGTTGAGAATTAAGGGAACCAGGGAAAGATTGAACGGTAAAAACCACAGAGGGCGCTAAAATAAATACGCGCCCTCAAGTTAAAC